GATGGGGGGAGGCAAGTTCCCGATTTTCTAATATTTCAGGCTTTCGAGTTTTCTTACTTTTTTTTTACGTTTGCTCCAGACCTTCTTTTCCTGTTTTTTTTTCTCTACAAATTTCGATTTTTTGTCCTACAACTCTGACAAATGAACTCTCATTGAATATTTTTTTTTCATAACAGCGTTACACACTGTCATATGTAAATCACACAATAAAGGACTGGGCACAGAGTACTGCATCTGTACTTCCAAGAGATTTTAGTTGAGGATGGAGCACAATTGTGTTGTGAGTACAGAACATGCCAAGTGAGGCTTATGATGCTGTGGACATGGATGAGTATCAACGAAAACTACTCCTAAAAAGCCCACAAAAGTCCTACTTTTATCCTGATTTTGTCCTCCCATGTCCTACTTGGACTACAGCGACTTGGACTAGGACAGCCAGAAACAGAAGTGATTGGAAACGTCATGAGGAGGGCTTCATTCGACAGCGGATGGACGTAGCCTGATAGATAGATAGATAGATGTCCTACTTTTTGTCCTAATTTTGTGTGTGAAAATGTTGATGCTATTGTTCTTCTTGTTCACCTTGGTCTGCCTAAAAGCCTGATATTTGAGTAGTAGAACTATTCACTTTCCCCCTACATCCGTTGTCTAGGGTTAGTCATATTCTAACTTCACATTTTTGTAAACAAAGTACATGTACAATGTACAACCAAACATAAAATGAAAACCAACTCGACACCCTAACCCTTACTTTATGATACTGGAACGTTGCTTTGAAACATCAATTAGTAATTGCTTTAAAAAGGTCATACAATGCTAGGCAATGCTATCTTATTCAGCAGGATCATGTGTGATGGAAATGTAAGAAATTCAAAATTAGGCACTGACGTTGCTATGGATTGACCAATCAATATCAGGTTTCAAGTCTGCACAGTATGGGCCTTTTTCGAAACTGGGTTCATCTTCGTTTCGGCTTAAGGAAATGTTAGGCCCCACTGCGGGAAGTCAAGCTACACTTTGGTGCCTGTTCTGCTTCAGGAACATTCAATCGGTTGATATGAAGCCGATGTAAGAGCTTGCCTCTAACTGATTCAGAAGTTGGAGGCAAAGCCGACACCGAGAACGTTCGAAAGCCCCCCTTATGTCTCCATTGACATTGGGCCACATCGCTTGTTGTCTGTGGCAAATGCCTTTGTTATAAAAATTCATTTACAATTTTCCAAACATTTTTTAGGAAAACGAACTTCGGGAAGAATTCCTTCTGTAGTGACACCTCAAAATTCAATCAAAATAGTTCAAAACAAACTATATAAAATCACCACAAACAAATATCTTTAACAGTAAACACTCACTGCAATATAATTGAAATAAATTTTTAACAGAAATAAATAATTTACATATAGGCACAATAGAAAAATGTCTGTGGGCCTGCTCTGTGAAAAAGTAACGCCTTAATTTTGCAGTTTTTAGTGTCTCATTAGCAGTTAACGTGAAAAAAAAAAACTTAAAAATTGAAAATTAACTCTGCTTTATTGTACACAAGTAATAAGTGATACATGGTACAAAATGAAGCGTGACGTGTGACGACATGTGCGTGTGTCTTGACCATGACAACCAACATCGAACGCCCAGCGCTTGGAGATGGAACAATCTACAAGCTTGGAACGCTCACGCCAGGCGGTTTTAATGTGGATTTGTCTGCATTCAAACAGTCCGTCCAGCTCCGATGAAGGCTCACTGTGGCTGAAAATTTAGCCAGAATAATTCCCGGTGAGCACTGCTTTTACTTTTGTTTTCATCACTTAATAAGTGGTATATCTGTGCAATATCAAAAAAAATTTGTGAATAAAAATAAATTTGCTTATTCAGTGCATTGCTATGTGATTTTCCAAGCTCATTTTATGCACTGCAGTTTTGAACTTTGAAAAAACACCCAAAAGCATAACAGAAACAAATCATATTTCAAAATGCACATGTTTCACAATTTAAACTTGTAATTATGATGTGAACTGTTATTTCTAGAGAAGGACGCAATTTAAAAGTGTTATACAGATATAGGCCTATAGTATATTTCTGTATTTCAGCCATAGAACACATAAAAATAAACAATACATGTATAATAAATCTGAAACATAGAGATAAATATTGTCTATCTTTCAAAATTGGAAAATTTATAACCACTCTATTTCAGCAATATATACATAGATGTATTTCAAGGCAACATTATATTAGACAGTATTTACATTCAATACATAGAATCATCTTATGTTTTGTCATTAAAAAAAAAGTAGGGTAAAAAATTGTCTTATTTGCACATCTCTATAGGTAAAGCACTAACAAGGGCACATGCCATTGAATTGAATGGATCAATTGATTATAAATACATATTTGTACACATGTGTCTTTATTGACATACTTTGTATTTGCTTTCTCTTGTGCATCAAATTTACAAAGGACACTTTACACACAGTAAAAACCCTTATGTCTGTGATGTGAACCTGAGGTCATAATTATTCGTGAGCTAGCACTCCGTCATTGGCCAAATACTTCAGGTTCATGATTACTTATGATCTAGCTTCATGGTCATTGGCCAATACTTCAGGTTCATGATTATTCATGATCGAGCCTAACTGTAATTGGCCAAGTACTTCAGGTTCATCTGACTTTCAAACTATGTTCAGTATAGCTTTTCAAGTATATAATGCTCATGACTAGTATCAATTCTCCCACGTATTCTGTTTTTTTTCCCTTTAAAATGCTGGGTAATGAGCTGGTTCATGATAAAAGAATGGCCCTGGGTTGATTTCCGGAGGAGGGCTTTGACATCAAAGGTGCCGTCGTTTGAGACCAGGATTTCCTTGCGCTTTAGCTGGCTGGTGGGAGATCTAATAAAACAAGGAAACAAGTGAAAGACCAAAATTATTTTAGTGAAAAGAAACAATGGGCTAGATAGTTTTTTCCTTTTCTGGCGGACCGAGATAGTCATGTTCATGCTCCAATGTAGAATGGTGTATCAGAAGTCTGACTATTTCAAGGCATGTAGGATCATTTTGCATTTATCCCAAAAGAAACCTAGCCATTATTATCATAGAGCTCGTTTGGATTAAAGATTGTACTGGTACTAAATACTTTCATTAGGAGAAATCAAGAAATATAGATCTGATTTCCAACGATCAGTCAATTGACTGAACGTTGGAAATCAAATGTAATGTCGACAGAATTGTGTTTCGTGATCAAAAAGTTGTGAGTTGGATTCTCACTGGTTTCTCAAAGAAGTGTAATATCCACTGAGCTGAAACTTCAACAGGGTAGGTTTTTGAACAGTCTGCTTTGGATTTTGAGTGGTGGTATTATCTGAAATGGACTAAATACATGAAAAGCAAATGATCCTATATGCTGGAAAACATGTTTGGAAAAACTGAACACAATGGTAAAGAAAACCCAAATCAAAATCCAGTTCCATTAAATCACAAGTCTGGTCACAAGTACATCACAAGCCTAGTCACAAGTACATCACAAGTCTGGCCGCAAGTACATCACAAGTCTGGCCACAAGCAAATCACAAATAGATCACAAGTCAATTCATAAAGTAAAGATCATCTGAGTGAGCTATGAGGCACAAAGATCAGACTAGGGAGGGATAGTGCCGCCTCATATTCCTGTTGTTGCCAAACGATTCGCCTACACGAGGACGCATCGGCCAAGTGAAGGTCTATTAATTCAATTGTGGCTCTTTGTTTCTACATGACTTCCAGCTGTCACTCCTTGACATCCTAATCAAAGTGCAATGACTCCTTGCCCCCCCCCTCCCAACAAGCAAGAAATCTCTGATCATCCAACCATAGTTTGATTCTCTGCAAATCAAGGAAATCACAGTTTCATATGTTTATGTTTTTCTTTCTTTTATTCCCTTCAAGTGTATAATAATATACCTTGAGGGGGTGATTCGCACCCACGGAGAGAGCAGATTGTATATATTTTCATGCTTGGCGGGTTCGGGTTGAGGATGAAGGGGCACTATAACCAAATTAACCGCACTGTTGATTCTACGAGGACATACTCTAGGGGTCATTTCCAAACGGGGGGAAAAAAAGAAGATGATCCTGTCTTTTTTAAATCAAATTTATATCCATTGAATTGATGTTTCTTTATCAACTCAATGTTATACCTCCAATGCCATTTGGAAGCACCGGTGTACTTAAGTCGTTTTCTACAGTTCATCAAGCTCTGGGCAGGGGGGGGGGGGGGGGGCACAGTTCAAACTGGGGGGGGGGGGATACACCACAAGAAAAAACACACTTGTTTATCATTTTTACTTGTTGCTCGTTAGGGGGCCCGGCCCCCCTGGGTACCCCTTGGCGACGGGCCTGCAAACATACATTCTGTGCAAAGTTGTCCTTTCCGTCAAATCAATCAAGTGACTGTTTTCAACAGTTGACAGCTCCCAGCCTACATGAAGCAGATTGACTGGCTGTGACTGTTTATGTAACTTGATACAACTGTGCTTTGACTGAGGTGACTGATCAATCCGCCAGCTGTGTCTACCATTTGCCTGCTTTTGTCTGTTGACTGAATTCGACTAGTCAAAGTGCTTGCTTGAAATATGATCTGACTGTTGGTGACTAGCCTGTGTAACAGGCATGACAGGGAAGAGGACAAAGGCCCCAGATTTCAATATGACACTACTTAAACCTGAAGGCAGCCGGTTCGTTTCGCCTCAGATCACTTGCATGAATCATCAATTATCCACGACCAAATCCTTCAAACTACCGCCAGTAATGGAAGAAAAATTCAGCGTGGCATGGATATCATCATTCTCTAAATTCCGAACAATCCTGAAACTAAGCCAACCTTGAAGCATGCACAATGAAATATTTAAAATGGTCAGGAATCGGCAAGGATATTATCATCAGGCATTAGCCATATATGACGATTCAAAGGGTCCATGAAATATAAAGCGCCACATGTTTAAAATTATTTTGAAATTTGAACAAAGAAATTGACTGGAGCTGGGTTTGAACCTGCGATCTCCGGATTGCCATTCTGGTGCTCTGCCAACCGAGCTATCCAGCCCTATGTGGCGGTTCCTATTTGTCAATGTCTTTGGCACG